TAGTCTGAATCTTGTGCAATATTCTAAAAACAGTTTATATGTACTAATAAGCTAGCCTATTTAGTTTTCAATTAGTAATACTAAATATAAAGCAGAAATAAATTTTGTGCAAGGTTAAGGTTAAATTAAATTGGTAAATAGGGTATTTTTTCCTAAATATTACATGTAATTACACTTAAATGAACAGTGTCTGTAGTTTGTATTTTGGTACCTATATGTAGCATTGCTTGTCGTCAAACTTAATTTCGCATTTATTTAGCTTTCATCAACATAAGATAAAAGTAAAGTGGTTTAATAAAAGTTATTTTAATAATTCACAATATTTTCCCTTTTATTTTGCATTACAACTATACTTGTAATTGATAACATAACGCATTTTTAAAATACATGTACATGTAAATTCAAAATATTGTGACATTTACATGTAAAGGTATCAAAATGTTATTGGCATTAATTTCCATACACATTTCAGTAGTCACACCATGTACATGTAAAAGGCTTAAGATGTGAAGCAGATTTTTACCAGATAATGCATTATACGTGTTTACATAAAAAAAATATAGGGAAACTTTTTAAAAAAGAAATAAAAAAAATATATAATGTCTAGATTAAAATTTCCAAGTTGTCTCTGGAGAAATTTTTTTAAAGGAGCCGAATTTTGACAAAGCAAATTTTAAATTTTGAAAAACAATTTTTTTAAGTGTATGTAGCTTTTTTGAAATATTTTCAAATATACTGAGATTTCATTGAGTCCTTGTTGCTATTTAAGAGTTTTCACTATATTTCAGAACTAATTAAATAATTTACGCAAAAGAAAGTTATAGATTTTAACTCAGGTTATAAGTAAGTTACCACATACTGTTGTACTCTAGATTATTCTTTATTGACAAGTTTTACAATATATACTGCATAATTCCCACTGTTTAATGAGAAATGCCGAAAAGCTAATTAATGCCTCATATATGTTTTATTCTTTTTTGTTTTATTTTTGTGATATCACAATGTTATCTGCCACATTCCTCATGTTTGACTGTAAATACATTATATTGGTGATTATTTATGCTGATTGTGATTTCATTGTAATCATATAAATATTTGAAATGTTGAATATTGAATATTGAAGGAATATGTCTATGATCATTTTGACAAAATTTGGTCACAACAGTTTAACTCCCCTTGTTTTAGGGTCCCACCCCTAGTTTTAGTACAAATGGTAGCACTTGGACCCCCCTTTGTCACAACAGTTTAATCGATCGAGATTCAGTATTTACTGTTCAGCAGGAAATTAAATCGCGGAGTTAAATTTCGCTATATTCGCGGAAAATGAAATTCCGCGAATTCAACATACAGTGAATAATTCTTAAAAAGTTTTATAAGGATAAATTGAAAATTTATTATTTTCTGTGATTAAATGTAGACTTTCTTTATAATTATGCGAGTGTCTGGGTCACAGACACGTAGTTGTTGCTGTTTTTAAAGCTTATTCATTATTTAATTAATTTCTATACTAACGATTAATTTTGCCATCTAGTAGACGTGCGATGTAATTATTTAATAAAACATGCTTGTTTAATTTCACCCTTGCGTATCACTCAGTCATTACCATTAATCAAGGCATTTACTTGGTAAACAGGGTAACGACAATTAATTAATTTCGATTATATGATTAAAAGTTCAACATTCTCACTACGGTATAATTTTTTTTTCTGATTTGGACCCGGAAATAAAAAAATTAAATGCATAGCATTATTTTGACTTTAAATCGGGATCAGTCCGGTGTTTCGTTATTATGCAATCGGGATCAAAATCTACACAATATATAGACTTTACTTTTCTGTCTCTTATGCGCAATATACATAACAGACTTTAATATTATATTACAGAGACGAGAAATAGCAGTTCACACAATATATACCCACAGAAAATGCTTGCAAGTATTGTTTAAGAAATTTATGGTTTTTCCTTTTTCGCGAATTCAAACTACCGCGATTTGCTGAAAGTTGAACAAATCGCGATCTTTTCCGACCGCGATTTTAACCTGCTATACAGTACTTTCGTCCACCATTGCTCATGTCCAACTACTTAGCTTTTTGGTGCTTTAATAATTATCTTACAAAACAAGTCACACCATTTAATAGGGCTTTTAACCTTTAGGGATAATACGTGGGAAAAATGATTTTTTATGCATTCTAAATAAAGGGATACATGAATACAAAGAAGATTTTTTAGGAAAATTACAGCATAGTTACATGTATAACATATTTATTTTTATTTCTTTCATATATTTTGTAAGATATTTGTCAAAAGACACATATTAATAACAGTTCGCAGGATTTCATAATTTTTTATTTTATTTTCAGCAACATGATATAAAGCTGAGAATTTAGAGTATTCCAAAATGGTTATTTAATAAATGGGATAGGGGTTACATTAAAAAATAGATTTTAAAAAAAAGTAATGAATTTAAACATACATGTATGTTTCTAAAAAAAACCCATACTCATAGGTGACCTGCTTTACTTTATTGTAGTGTTTTTTTCTCTCTGCACAGTTTACTAGCTTGTCTAGTCAGACTGTTCTTTCTGGTGCTTTTGTTTTAGATTGTAATGCATCAATAATTGTACTGTAGATATCTTTATTATGAACAATTTCTTGTGGGATGGATTTAGTGTTGGAAAGTCTGTATAATTATATAGACCATATGAAGTAGATCTATTGAATTAAATTTCATTCCCTTTACTAATATTTGCTATGCATTCAATGTACAGGCATCGATCTTGTCTTGTGTATGTTTATAAGTACTTTTTTGTATTTAAAAGTAAACATGTACATGTAAATACATTATATCAAGGACTATTGTAATTTTGAAAGGTTGTGTAATTGTAGAACTCCATAACAAAATACTATTGTCAGTAAAAGTTTTAGATGAGTAAGTCTTGTTCCTACAATGTTTTATACAGTTATTATTCTTGGTAGTGTCCTTAAAAATGCACTTGTCTATGTAATTAAATATGCCAGATACACTGATGTCAAAAATAAAAGGCACAAAGTTTTTTGTTTGTGGTTGTGATTTTTTTAGGAGTTACAGAGAGTGAATCAAATCTTACAAAGCTATACGGGAGGTAACTCTCATACCTCTTGCAGATCAACGTTGACAGAAAGCACTGTAGGCATCAATTTCCCATGCAGAGTTGTCGTTCGTTCCTCTCTCAGCCACTTGGACATGGACACAGACTACCAATTATTTTGCTATACATTCCTTTATAACATAGAAAAATATTTTTAAAAATTACACCGGCTCAACTTACCAGAAACTTGGCACAGAGTAAGACAATTTCAAGCCCAAAATTTTACCAAGTTCTCAGGAACATTCATAGTCTGCAAATTCTTTAATGGCCTCGCAAATAACCCCTACCCTGCTTTTTTCACTTTCTCTTCGAGGAAAGGGTAAATATGGGCCTCTTTACACCCTTCCTACTACGCACTTAAAAGCAAAATTTCCCATTATTATCATTTTTATAGTTTTTTTTCAGACCCTCTCCTTTTCACTTATGCCCAAAAATAACCCCATTCTACTCCATAAGCACCCCAAAGAATTTTAAGAAAAAACCTCTATTTTTAAACTGGAACTACTTGAGTGGTCAATGAAAAAGGGGTTAAGTTAGTAGTCTGTAATCACATAATGACAAGGAAAGTAACTCCTGTCTAACTCCTTTCAGACACACCAGATGCCATGATATTAGTGTAAAAAATTAAATGCACCAACTAAGTTTTAATGATTATGATATTTTTTTAGTTTGAGAGTGAATCAAATCTAACAGACATAAGACAGGTAGATAACTCTTGTCACACACAGTTGATGCATCGTGACAAGGAACGTTACTCCTGTCCTGGGTCCTTAACTGTCACAACACAGGTGTCAGATTAAATTTAAAGAAAGGATTAAGGTCCAGGACAATGTACTCGCCTGTAACCCTAAAATTTACATTTTCTTTACATCTTCCTCCTGGGGTAGATTTCCTACTTTGTTATAGTATCATTGTCGAAGCTCTTTGATAGGAAATCTGGATAAAAAATACCTGGTATTTATGTTTTGTAATTTTTGTACATTTTTCTTTGAATAATGAAAAAAAATTCTCATTTGATATTCTGTATGTTCATAACCCCTGTTAACACATGCTGATTTGTTGTCGAAAAACATGTAATGGTGCTAAAATTTTATATTTAGAATATATTTAAAAATTATCAGAAGATAAGGTACGTTGCGTACGTCCTTATGAGAGTCCTACAGGTGCACCTTTAAATATTAATGATTTGTGTCCCTGTGAATTGACTGAGACTTCCACAATGTATTGATTTTCTTTCAGTTTCTTTTTTAAACTTTGTTTTGATGATCGATATTTGATTGTGTGGACTTTCAAGCTGTTTTATCATTGCATGCTTTGTCTGTTTGAAACTTAAAGTCCATTGTTCTTGATAGCACATGACTACCGGGTTTTGGTAGGCAATAATTACTCAACAAATATGGCTGCCAGTAAACCAATATATCCACTGGGTTCTCCTCAAGAGCATATTGAAATGTGTAAAACCCATGATTTACCTATTGATATGTTATGTGAGGATTGTGATGAATTTATTTGTGCCAAGTGTGCCAAGACAGATCATAAGGAACATGATTGGAACACTCTACCCACGGCAGCTACCCAAAGGAGGAGAGGTTTACTTTCATTTCTGAAGAAGATCAAGGAAGAGGACCTGCCTGGGATTGATGAGAAATTAGGGAAGATCCCACAACAGATGACAGAAAATAAAGAACTGTGTGAAGCTGAGATTAAAAAGCTCCAGAATCATTATGATGAGATAATAACCAGAATGTCAGAAATCAGAGAAAAAAATGAGCAAAATTGAGAGATTATTTGAAAGAATGGAATGAAAAGTTGGATGTTGCTAATTCTGAGATAAACAGGAAGAAGAAAGAAATTGCAGAAATATTTTAGTTTATGGAGGAAAACAACAGCACCATGTCAGATAACGGTTTGATTGACAACCACAGAGAACTGACAAAATTGCTTTCTGGCCTGGATGTTGATATTAAGTGTAGTACACCGTCAATGAGATATAGTAAAGGAAACATCATTGAAGAGGAACTGGAGAAATTAGTTGGAAAATCTTTTGATTTAGATGACATCAGTTTAACTGAAATTAGCTCATTTGAGAAAGCAGTATCTTTTTTGAGGGCGTTATGTGAAGATAAATGTTACATTAAACAAATAATGTCAGATTACATTGAACTAGTAAATGAAAAAGGCGAGAGAAAACATAAATTTGATATTACTGCTAATGACATGTGTGTGACCGATACTGGTGAAGTTTATTTCACTGATTCTAGTAACAATTCTATCAGCTGTCTGTCATCATCAGGATCTGTGTCTACAGTCATCAGGACAGATCCACTGGATCCATTAGGAATCTGTCAGTCAGTGGATGGTGGACTACTGGTCACTTTGAGAGACAATGATTCAGATGAGTACAAATTAGAGCCACAAAGCAGACGTCTGGTGAGACACATCTCAGTGACAGGTGATGTCATCCATGAGTATGAGTACCAGGAGGACGGTCAGACCAGACTGTTTACAGAACCATTTAGAATCACACAGAACAGTTATAGTACTATCTGTGTTATGAACAGTACGAGTCTCAAAAAAGGCCATCTAGTGATTTTCTCTCCTTCTGGTCGTTTGAAGTGTATCTACAAAGGACAGAACCTGCCAAAGGACTTTTGGCCAGCTGATGTAGTATGTGACTCCCTCTGTAACATCCTTGTTATTGACATGAACAATATACAGATCAATCTGCTGAGTCCTAGTGGTGAATTTTTGAAGTTCTTACTGACAGACAATGAAGTGTACCATCCAACCAGATTAACACTATGCAAGTCTACATTGTGGGTGGGATATATAGAAGGACTTGTCAAAGTGTTTCAGTACTGAACGTAAAATATGAATTTGAGCTTTAGACCAGATATCGTAGTGTGTGACTCTCTCTAACATCCTCATTACAGACTCATTTATCAACCAGATCCACCTGCTGAGCCCTGACGGTGAAGTTTTTACTGACCGAGAATGAAGATGATCCTTCCATTTCACTGTGCTAATTTAGACTGTGGTAGGGATACAATAAAGGGCTTGTCACTTTGTTTCAGTGCCAAGTTTAAAATTTATGTATTATTGGAAATAAAGACAGCTGTTTTGATCATGTTTAGTAAGAACATGAAGTATAGAATACTAGTATTTTTTTTTGTTTTATATCAAATTTCAATTACCTACAAATAGTAATAAAAACATATTGTACTTATCATTTTTCACATAACTGTTTTGTTGAAAGGGTTAAAAAATATATATAATGTATGAATATAATAGATATTTGAATCCCTTAAATATATTATTACATTGATACAACTGGGATTTTTATATATTTTACCCCTCTCACGATCGAGTGAAATGCCATTTAGCGATTCATTAGGCTGGGTGGTAATTTTGGTAAAAGTGTGCTAAAATTTGAATCGCTAAAATATTCTGTTTTCTTCCTATTGTTCTTTTACAAAAAGGTGGAACTTTGTCTCTGCTAAAAAATTACGTCAAAACTATTGGCATACCGTTAGCCTCACAAAACGCCAAATTTTACATCAACCAAGAAAACTCACTATACGGTAAATTAAATATTCAAAAACAAAACGTTGATTTTTCTGTTTTATTACATTTTCTTTGAATTTACATTGTCTCTGTTTTTTTTTCTTAACACAGCATCATAGGCTGTGATGTATGAAGTGAGCAATTGAGAACTTGTAGTTGAGCAACTGTAAGACTGAAAAACAATGTAATGTTGATTTTAGCAATAAATTGGGGAATAAATTGGCAGGTGTAGTGTTTATCAGGGAGATTTAGTAACTATGTCTATCTTATGACTAGCCAGAAAGTGACCTCCTTTCACTTTGTGACTAATTTCACTTTGGTATCCTTTAACAATCTGATAGAATATCACTTTTATTTAAAGTAAGTCCATTTCATACAATGTTATTAAAAGTTTATAATCTTGGTAGTGTCTATTCAGAGGAAGAAATATTGGTATTGTTTGGTAGATCACAGCTGCTAGTATCAGGGTGGAACAGATAGCATTAACAGGCATTATTAAATCAGATTTTTTAAAAACTAAATGAATGAGTTTAACAAAATGTAAAGAATTGAAATACACAAACCTAAAGAAATCATGAACCAGTAAAATGTAGAATTGTTCTTAATATTGATTAAAAAAAGAACTGCATGTGTATGTTTACCCATTAAATGATTTTTGTCGCTGAGATCTATTTGATATTTATGGAGTGCATATTAACTCTTTACAACTTACTGGACTGTGACACAACATACACTTAATGTACACTTCATAGAAATATGACATTATTTTATAGCGCTGTACATGTCTCTCTTCAAATTTAGCGTAAATGATTATGACGTAATATTTTAAAAAAGATTATAACTTTTCTTATTATATGAGATTTTAGCAAGAATAAAATAGAATTGAATTGGCAGTAAATTAAAGATTAAATTACTTTTGAAAGCGCTCGAAAAATGCGTGATTGCGGGGAAAGGGTATATGCATGATTTCGCGTTAAAAATAGGAAATGGTATATGCGTTAAAATGCGTGACTGTGGGAAGGGGGTTAATGTTCATTCTGGTTTTATTGTTCTGGAAATTTAAAGCTACCTTGTCTTTTAATGAGAATTTGATAGTGTCCACCTTCAAGCTGTCTTACCATTCCATGTCATCAATTTGAATATAAGTTTAAAATCCATGTGCTTAATAGTGCATAGCTATTGTTTCCAGGTTATATTAGGTAGGCAACATTCAACAAACATGGCAGACAGTAAACAAAAATATCCACTTGGCTCACCTCAAGAACATATTAAAATGTGTGAAACTCATGAATTACCTATTGATGTTATATGTGAGGACTGCGATGGATTTATTTGTGGTAAGTGTGCCAAAACAGATCATAGAGTACACGAATGGAGCACTATACCCACGGCAGCCACCCAAAGGAGGAGAGGTTTGCTTAAATTTCTGAGGACGATTCAAGAAGAAAAATTGCCAGGGATTGATGTGAAACTAGTGAAGATGTCACAACAGATCATAGAAAATAAAGAAATCTGCGACGCTGAGATTAAAAAGCTTCAGAGGCATTATGATGAGATAATGACCAGGTTGAAAAATATGAAGGAACATAATGAAAAACAAATTAGAGACATTTTAACGAAAAGCAATGAAAAGTTAAAAGTTAAAAAATCTGAGTTAAACAAAAAGAAGAAAGAAATTGCAGAAATAGTTCAGTTCATGGAGGAAAATAACAGCAGATTGTCAGATTACGGCTTCATTGACAACCACAGAGAACTGATACAGCTGCTTTCTGGCCTGGATGATGATATGAGGGACTGTAAACATTCAGTGAGATACAGTAAAGGAGAAGTCAGTGATGAGGTACTGGAGAACTTAATTGGAAAGTCATTTAATTTTGATGATATCAGTTTGACTGAAACAAGTTTATTTAAATATGGAGAGAAAGCAGTAGTTTTGTTGAAGACATTATGTGAAGATCAGTGTTACATAAAACAATTTGAGTCACCTTACATTGAACAAGTAAATAACGAAGGAGAGAAAAAACATAAATATTATACCTCTACTAATGACATGTGTGTGACTGATACTGATGATGTTTATTTTGCCGATTTTAGTAACAATTCCATCAGCTGTCTGTCTCCATCAGGATCTGTCTCTACAGTCATCAGTACAGATCCATTGAAACCAATAGGAATCTGTCAGTCAGTGGACGGTGGACTACTGGTCATATTGGGAAAGAAGGAATCAGATCCGTACAAATTAAATTCACACAGCAGACGTCTGGTGAGACACATTACAGTGACTGGTGATGTCATCCATGAGTATGAATACCAGGAAGACGGTCACACCAGACTGTTTACAGTGCCATACAGAGTCACACAGAACAGTTACACTGATATATGTGTGGTGAACCGCACTAATCCCAATGAAGGTGAATTATTGATTGTGTCCATTTCTGGTCATATGATGTCAGTCTACCGTGGACAAAACTTGGCAGAGGCCTTTCGTCCAGGTAATGCAGTGTGTGACTCCTTCTGTAACATCCTTGTTACTGACATGAACAATATACAGATCCATCTACTTAGTCCTGATGGTGAATTTTTGAAGTTCTTACTGAACAAAGATGAAGTGCACCATCCAACCAGATTATCGATAAACAAGTCTTCGCTGTGGGTGGGATATAGGGAAGGAGTTGTTAAAGTGTTTAAATACAGAACGTAGTATATGACAATGAGCTTTAGTCCAAATGTCGTAGTGTCTGACTTTCTCTAACGTCATTGTTACAGACCGTTTGACAACCAAATTCATCTGCTGAGTCTTGACGGGGAGTTTTTAAAGTTTTTACGGACCGGGAATGAAGGGAACCTTCTAGTAAGATTTTCACTGTACTAGACTATACTGTGGTTTGGAATTATAAAGAGCTTGCCATTGTGTTTCAGTGCCGAGTGTAAACTTAATATATGTACATGTATATTGCATAAATGTTTTTTTTAATAAAGACGGCTATCTTACTAGTTTTACTAGTCTTCCTGTCTCACATTCTTATTTTTTTTAAGCATATTTCAATTAGTTTCAATTAGTCATTTGATGCTTTGTTTGCTTGTTGTTTATCGTTCTTTTCGAGATTTATTCACTCATATGGAGACGCCATCACTTGCCGATAGAGAGCTGTATTTTGACCTATACCTGATTTTTAGGTCCATTGAGCAGATACAGATCTCTTTCGAGCCCTAACCCAACTGCGACACGGGACTTCAGTTTATATGCTCTCATCCGAAGGACCGGTTTCTACATCCAACAGTGGGATACGAACCCGCGACGTAAGGATTAACTCTTTACTTCACGACTCTAGAGCTGACGTTCTAACCACTGCGCCACACAGGTGACGTCATTAGATGTAAAATGATTATATATTGTACATGCTATGTACATGTACGTGTATTACTGTACATGAAAAACTAAGAGGGGTTGTATTTATAATTTTTGACATGACTGTTTTTATCTATAAAGTTGATTAATCTAATGTTTGATGTATATTATTATTACATGTACGTATTATGATCTGTTGAGATGTGGCCGAATAAATCAGGGAAACAAAACAATGAAAACTTTTTAAAAATTATTAAACAAAACAAAAGTATTTTTTTACAACAAACTAATCAAAACAATAGAAACATAAGAAATGTAATGTCTTTCTGCAAACCGTCCTCGAAAGTATCGCGAATTGATTAACTCACATCTGCTTAAGATTATTAGAATTTTGGTGTAGAATTTTCTCTTACGTATTTTAACAAAAAAAATTGAATTATTATTCACAACTAGCACATAACTCATTATTTCCTAAACTTTCACAATGCTGTTTGGATAATGTTTGAATTCAAATTCTTTTCAAAGAGTTGATTTCTTTCTCTGATATCTATTTAAACACATAACTTCATTGCTGGTCCCGAGGTGTCCGTAAGTACTATCGTATCTTACTCTCTCACATGTTCTGAAAGTTGTAGACTCTCCCTCTGAGTCTCGCCATGGACTGGCCATTGTATCATAAGAATTCTAGTGCCCAACTCAAAACCTGTGTCATTTACGAAACGGGACAAAAGCCCCAGGAAATAGGACCATGGGGAAATATATTAGTCAAATATTAACTAAACTAAAGATGTAGAATCTAACATTTAAACATAATTTACAAAATACATTTTCATTCCCGTAATTGTACTATATGAGGGGCGTTCAATAAATAATGTCATCAGCTCGATGACATACAAAATAGAAATCATATGACATTAAGCTTGACTTTCTCTAATTATTGAATCTTTATTGAATTTATAACAGTTTATGTGACCACTTTTCATCGCATAATTTCATTTTGGGAAGCTGGAAAACAAGGGCTACTCGAGACACTGCATTAAAAATGTATGGTCAAGAATCAGTAAACTAGAGCAAAATTGAACGCGTCATTAAAGCTGCTGTAAAACTTTTTAATTTACCAAATATATATTAACTGAAATATGTAAAATTTGCAGCGAATTATGTCTGTTTCATACACACACGAACAGGTAGATTTCAATTAACAAAAATTAAATAATGGGCATCAAAAATGGGTACCGTTCTTGTCAACAAGGACATACAACAAACAGTTTATATAAGCGATAATTCAACAAATTATCACTGATTATGTTTTATTGACTTTAAGATACATAGCAAATTTGATAGACATCATTTCGGGGGTGTTCATACTGTTTTAAAGATACATTTCATGGTAAAAAAGTTTAATACTCAAAGGTCAACCTATGTTTTTTAAAAATGAGTAAAAACGAGAGCTTGTAGAAAATCTAAACAATTATTTTAAAAAATTCAAAAATTGTTCTAATCCTCGTTTTTCTGAAATTCAAAAAGATCATGAAACTTGAATCCTTTTTGCGTTAACCCCTCAAAACAAATTTAGAATAAGATGTACTTGACAAAACTGCAAAGGCCTGAGAAGAGCAAAAATTTGCAAGAACACACAAACAGTTTTATACGCTATTTTCTTAAATATTATCGGTCTTTTGTTCAAATTAATATATAGGGAGGCAGTTCAATTTCTGGAGGAGTCTAGTAAGCAAAATATTCGCTCAAAAATTGAAAGGTTTATAAGAGAAAGGAAACAGAATGAGGAATTCACTACATTAAATTTCTTCCTGACAGCGTCGAAACCCAAAGGCCATGAAGAGTAAAGTTGTTTTGGGGTGAACAGAAAGTTAATGTTTTGTCACATCAACAATATTCGCCAGATCTTTCAATCTTTGACTTGCTTCATTTCCCAAACTTAAGAAAACACATTTTAGAAAGAAAAAATTAAGTACAGCAAATTATAGGACCTGCCATTTTCCAGTATACGAAGGGTCATACTCAAAACTGTGTTCTAAAAACAATTAGAAATTGAATAAAAATGTTACGGACATGTGTTTTATTTAAAAGAGAATAATTTAGTTAAATCATGAATACAAAGTCATAGAAAAGCGTTTTTTGTTTCTTTCCGAGCCCCGATGACATTATTTATTGAACGCCCCTTGTAGTTGGTTGTGATTTCTTTTGTTAAAAGAGTTGGTTTTCTGAACATAACCCACACTTTTCTATAACTCCGCCCACAGAGTCGGGACAAAAAAAAACTTCAAAACAATGCACTATGTTTAAACGAAACAATCGTCCAGGCTATTTATACCAAATTTAGGAGAGTAAAATAAGAGTAAAAATTATCAATTGTAGACAGCATTATGTAGTAATTATCTATTAAAAAAGGAATGTATTATGTATAAGATACACTTGTACATGCATAATACTGTTTGACATAATTTTAAAAAAGTTAATATTGTTTACATTTAAAGTGTGTAGAATGTGTTACATTTTATTTGGGCATCTCACATGTATGTTTTAATG